GTGAGGTAAGCAAAAAATCACCTTTTCTTTGTTGTTTTTTAAGAAATCTCAATTATAACCATACCTCAGTCTCTTCAGTATGTATTTTAATTTTGCTTTGAAATGCCTTTCTGGTGGCATTTCAGTCTATTTCCTTTCATTTGGCAGTGCTGTGTATTGAGTGTTTTTTTTTTCAAATCAACGTGACAATCATGCTGCTTATTGAAATATCAACTGGAGCAAATATTTTAGACGAGACATATTTCACCTTAGCTTTGTGTATTTGAGAAGTGTTCTAATAAATAATTAGAACATTTGCAATAAATGCAGTAAGTAAATAAACTTGTTTTCATGTATTTCTTGTTGTCATATTGAAAAAGAAATTCAAGTGAGCTATTACTTTGTGTATATGTATATATGCATGAGTAATATATACATATAAAAATAATATTATATAGTAATATATAATATGGGATTTTATGAATTGTACCAGTTACAACTGTAATGAGTTGTAATTGTAGTTTTTAACCAAAATAAATACCATAGGAAATAAATATATTATTTAATATCTTTAAGATTTCCTGTAAGTATGGAGTTTGTGTGTGTATTACTCCTCCATTTATTTACTATATCATACATTTTGTGTTCATGTGGGAGGCATTACATTTTGAGTGAGTTTGTTTAGATTCCTGTCGTAGTTCCTGTGCCTTTTATAAAAAGTTAAAAATACATTTGTCATCATTTACTGACAGAGTGGCCTTTAAAATCTAGTTTGGAATGTTTCATTCTTTTTTTATATTTGTTTGTGCATGTGTTTTGTGTTTGTGACTGTGTGATGTTATGTAGTCTGTAGAAGATCGTGTGGAGCAGGTCAAACAAAACTGCGTAGCAGAAGATCACAAAAACAAGGTAGTATTCCTTCTCCCAAACCTCTGGCACATTCTTAAAAGTTCTGTGGAACTGGCTTTTCTTTCTCTAATGTGACTAACAGAAGCTATGTGTTCTGTGTAGTCTGTGTGGCAGGCTTTTAATCGGTGAATTAACTTTGGATGTCCTTTAATTGGGATGAGTGAGCACTTTGTAAATAGTGTTGTACACACAACTTTGTGTTTCTTACACTCAAACACATCTGGCTCCTAGAACACAAAACAGTCTGAGAAGTCTAAAGTTTAGCTTCCTAAACGATGCTGAGGCCACTGAACTTTTCTTGCATGAATTTTGTATAGACTTTTGCACTCTGAATGTACAACTACAAAATGGATTTTCAGGCTAATTAAAGTTTCTCATAAATGTTTTGTAGGTTGAAGCAGATCTTGGCTACCCTGGAGGAAAAGCAAAAGTAATTCACAAAGAATCAGATATGATAATGGCATTTGCAGTTAATAAGGTAGGCCTCAAATTTTACTAGTAAACATAGTAGAATAATCTAAACTGAAATTAGTTTAAATTTTCTATTTGTGCTGCACAGGCAAACAGCAATGAAATTGTTTTGGCATCTACACATGATGTTCAAGAACTTGATATTTCAGCTCTACTGGCTGCTCAGTCATTTATATGGATTGGGGAAGAATATGACAGAGAGTCAAAAAGGTAGGATTATCTCTCCGTGGATATAGTGGGCAGACAGGTTTACTGTGAGGCTGTATGTGGAATTCCAGTGCACAAAATGTTAATTGCATAATCTTTGGTAGGTTTTAGAACACTTTCAAAAGGAGCAGCGGTAGAAGAAAGCAAAGGAACATTAGTATGTTTTACAAGTGGTAAAACTAAGTTTTTGAGGGATTTGAGTATTTGGGGCATGTCTACACTGCTCAATGAAATACAGTCTCATGGTGTATAAGCTAATAAAAGAAGCTGTATATCAGAAACACTTGTAGTTGCAAAACTGCTTTGTTGAGACTACTTCTGGTACCTGATGCTAGCTGTCCAGCGCAGTGGCCTGATCTCCTCCATTATCACACTGAGAGCAAGCACTTCCCTGCACTACATTCCATTGCACAGAACAGGCACAGTTACAGATGCACAGGCCAGGAACACTAGATGCTGTAATATCTTTCTGTCCATATTTTTAACATATTCTCCTCAAGGGAGCTCATATTCTCAACAACTTAGAATCACATGTTGAGGTTAAACAGTGATGTCTGTGTGGCATAGGGGAGTTTTTGTGTATAATACAAGTGAAGAAGTTATACATTTACAGTCTTTACTGTATTCACTTTCTCTGTCCACTGCCACTGGGCTCTTAACAGCAACGAGATAAGTGAACAGCACTGGTGGCAAAGAAACATTTGTTTAAAGCAGAACGCTGCTGTTTTCTTACAGTTCTGATGATATTGACTTTCGTGGTTCTACCACAACACTAACTCAGTCAACTGCACCATCTTTTGGAGTGAGTCAGATACAACCATCTTCATCTATGCCATGGCTGGGCACTGGTCAAACTAGCACTGGAGCTGGTGTGGTAAGTACTTTTGTTGCATGCAGCCCTGTAGACTTACTGTCATCTTTGCTGTGTCATTCAGTACACAAGTTATTGCAGTGTTAATTCAATGTTAAAATAAAAGGCCTAAAGTGACCAAGACCTGGCCAAAAAGAAGATCACACTGCATATCTTCTTTAAGATTATAGCATAGTGTTATTGTGACTTAAAAAATAATGAGCCAAACAAGATTTTATGAGTTGTGAAGTAGGACCTGCAATTTCTCAAAAAATTAAATGTAATTTTTTAAACTACTCTTGCATTGGGACTAATATAAAAAGCATTACATCAGCCATCTGTATAATGGAAGATAATACGATCCGAAATTTCGTGACTGAATAGACTGTCAAAAACAGGCTTTAATTACTGTACCAAAACTAGACATAATTAGATACAAATAATGCTAGTTTGCAGGCATTTTAATTATGGAGGACATTTATCATATAGCAGAATAAAGAAAAATTGAATAGTGTGTTTATCTCTTCTTGATTTTTTTTCAATTTTTTTTTTTTTACAAAGCTTATTAAAAGAAATCTGAATAACGTCAAGAGAATGGCTTCACATCCAGTCCATCAGTATTGTAAGTGAATCACATTTGCCAGTATGAAGCAGACATTTTTCTATACCATTCTGTAGTACTAATGAATGCCTATTTCTTAATCCAGATCTTACAGGAGCACAAGATGGGAGCGTTCGAATGTTTGAGTGGACAAGGCCACAGCAATTGGTCTGCTTTCAGCAGGCTGGGAACGCCAGGGTTACAAGAATGTATTTCAATTCCCAGGGCAATAAGGTAAGTACAATATCTGCAATTTTTTATGGAACACATTTGATCATGCTGTGACCTCTAGAACAGTTCTATCTGGTGATATAGAAAACTCCTATTAACGTATCCTAGAATAACCATAACCAGTACCATTTCATTTTTACTGCATATGAAAGCTCTGTAACAAACAGTGATTTTTATTCTCCTTTGTTTCCTGTCAGCTTCACACAGATTCCTGTCAGATTACATTAATACAAAGCAAGATTTTCAGTAATCTATCTGCAGTGTCTTTACACGTCAACAGTAAAATCTATTGCAGGAAAAATGCCCTGATTTATATCAGCTTGACTGTCTTCTCTTCCAGATTCCTTCCCTATAGAACTGTTTATTCTCTGCATATTCTAAGCAATCTCAAAACAATTTGTTCTTAAACTGACGTACATGCATACAGATTTTTAATGCCTCTACAATTTAACTGAGCCGATGTAGAACATGGTTGGATCTGAAACCTCTTCCTTATGTTCTCGCAAGGAAAGCTGAATATGATTCACTCAAAAAAAAAAAAAAAAAAGGTTTTGGGTGCTGTAAAATTATCTGATCTGTTGATTTCAGGCTAGTCCTTATTAGCTACATTTTGAGACAAAAAACTTTGCAGTATTGTGTGTCATATTTCCTATTTTCAAACTTTTCTGTAATTTGTTTCTAAGTGGTGAGCTTTTAAATCAAACATTAATTACAAAAATGGAACTTGCCTATTTTGCAGAACAAAACTCATATTAAACTAAATACAGATGTTCAAAAAGTACTTCATACTTTGCTTTCTGGCTATAATAAAGTTGAATGTTTTGGCTAGAAAACATACTTATGGAGAGCAGGAAAAAAAGTACAGAAGAGCCACACACTGTGGCCAAAAATGAGTATGTGAGGTAGGTAAGCTGCAGAAAACAATGGACAAAGAGAAGGGAACTGGGAGAAATAGCCACCTTCATTTTTCAAAGTTATGCTAAGAAATGTATTTCATTCCTTGCAGTGTGGTGTTGCTGATGGTGAAGGATTTCTAAGTATTTGGCAAGTAAACCAAACCACCTCAAATCCTAAGCCTTATCTGGTAAGTTAACAGTTGTGGGTTTTTTTCTTCTCATAGAGGAAATTTAGTCTTCAAGACTTTACACAAATCAAGACTGTAAGAGTTTCACTGAGGCATTTTTGTTTCGCTTATTTTTAATTGGCACACTTCATCAGTATGCTTATTTTCACTACTATTGATTTGAAGCTCAAATTGTAAAGTGACTGTAAGCTGTGATGCAATTACAAATGCTATCAGCATTGCCCTTGATTAAATAAAAATGAGAGCTCGCAGTAAGGACTTTACAGCCCCAAGAAATAGTAAAAGCACTCTCTTCTTTTCACTGCTAATTAACAGCACAAAAAGATCATGCTTAATTTGAAATTCAGGCTAATGTGATACAAGACATTGTGGATTTTTTTAATAGTTCAATTATTTTAGTATTTGTTTTAGATTTTTTTAATCCATTGATTCATCTTCTGAGATTTCAAGCTGCACTGTGTGTCACTACTTCAGCTTTCAAAACCTTAAGACCGTTTCCTGTATGACAGCAGTGACATGACACTGATAGTAGCACTTGATGCTACTATCAGACTACAACTGATATGATTGCTTCTCTGTTATTCTGCTTTGTTTTAATAGAGCTGGCAGTGTCACAGTAAAACCACAAGTGACTTTGCGTTTATAACCTCTTCAAGTCTCGTGGCCACGTCAGGACAGTCCAATGACAACAGGTGTGTTTAAAGAAACTGCGGCATTTCACCAGAGCTACCTACTGATGTCTACTAACCCACTGCTTGTCACGCATTAATACGTGGCTGATGTTTTAAGGCTTAGCATTACAAGTTTACTTACTGCTCAGACCTGACAGATTATTTCTTTGAACATCACTCCTTCGGTCATTTTTTTTCCAGCATTTAGTTTGTGAGGGATGGTTAAGAATTAAACAGTTTTTCCATGATGTATTCCACGTTCAGAAAGTTCTGACATGCTGCTGTGAGGATAAACATGTTCAGTAAAAGGAAGATAATTATTTTTCTTTGAGAAGAGCAACCTGAATAACTTCTTGGTTCATCCTAGGGTTAGTATCCATCTTAGAGGCAGAAAGTACAGCCTCTATTATGAAGCATAAAAGAGCACAGAAAGAGTTAAGATGTTAAATCTTTCCATATGCTCTCCAATGACTGCAGAGAGCCAAGGGCTCCTAGTTCAGTTCTACCTTCTAATCTTTGATACAGAACACAGGCACTATCTGAGTCCTGTCACCCTATGAATCACTTATCAACAAGCCATAATGACTTTTTTTTCTTTCAGAAATGTGTGCCTCTGGGACACTTTGGTTTCATCTGGTAACAGTCTTGTACATGGTAAGTGCTGCAGTGAAAATATAAGTCTGCTTCTCACTGAATAAAGAAAAATACAGAATGCATTTTCAGGGCAAAGAGAGAAATTTATGCTGAAGAACTAGTCTATGTATTTGTATATTTGCACGTCCCAGGTCTGATACATGTCTCTAGCATTATCATTATCTACTCTACAGAGAAAAGTATGAAGAACACACTTAGAGCTATTTTTGTTACAATAAGGCCTGAAATACTTGAATACAATCCTAAAAAACCAACACAACTGACAACCAAAGCTGCATTACTAAAGACTGTGTGTATGCAGAATTTCACTTAAACAAGCAATTCATAGATCCACTACTCTATTAAACTACCAAGAGAAGACAACTGTAGGTAACAGCAGAAGCAAATCAGAAAAAAAATGTCTTTATCTTTCAGCAGCCAGGCTGGATTCTTAACAAGATGTTTTTATCTATTTGACCAAGTTCAATACATTCATCTTTAGGTAAAAAAAAAAATAAAGCAAAATTCTATCACCTTGCACTGTGGAGGAAAAATTAATTTAAAATCTTAATATGAGAGCTTGGATTTGTAAAAAAGCAACTATCATACACAGCTGCAAATAATTGCAGTACTGGAATGAACTTAGCAATTACCTGTGTAAACAATAGGTACATTCTTAGATTCACTTTTTTAAACCAGCAGATTGCACTGAAGTTCTGTCTCATTTTAAAGAATTCCAGTCAGGGCACCTAAGAAATAAGAGTTTAGGAAATTATAACAGAATAATAAATGTGTATATGGTAATTAATACTTACTCTAATTTTTATCTTCAGTTATAGTATTATTCTTTTTTTTTTTTTTAGTATTTTATTTTAATGTACTTTAATGTATATGTTGAATGTTGTATTTTCTTAGGGTTCTTTTAATTCATTTATGTATATTAACTCATGTATAATTTATTTACAAAATATATTTAATTCATATATATTCTAATAAAGATAAGTTAGACTGCATATTTCTTGTTCCCTAGACCTAGGTAGCCCTTACAAGAGCAAAGAAGGATGTTAACTGATACAACACTATCAGTATGAAGGAATGTATCTATCAAGTTAGAAAACATTCAGAAAACAGTAACAGAAATGCATGTGAAGATCAAAAGCTACTTACAGTTTCAAATCTATTAAACTGTGGCATCCTTCTTCTTCAGCCTTCACTTGTCACGATCATGGTGCCACGGTACTACAGTATGCACCAAAGCATCAGCTGCTGATTTCTGGTGGTAGGAAGGGATACATCTGCATCTTTGACATCAGACAGAGGCAAATCCTTTATACCTTCCAAGCACACGATTCAGCTGTTAAGGCCCTTGCACTGGATCCTTCTGAGGACTATTTTGTTACAGGCTCAGCAGAAGGTAACATGAAGGTAAGCTATAGAGGAGCTGAGTTGTACTAGAAGAGTATTTATCTTAAGCAGTGCACAGATATATTTTGGTCAGCATGCTGTAAATAGGTACATGAACATGGTAACAAAACAGCTGAAAAAAACAAAAAGTCCACAAAACTTCTACATTTGATAAACAGGATGCTTACTTTTATCTTTCAAGTATGAGATTAAATATTCTGGTATCTGTGTTCTCCACTAAAGAAGATAAAAGTCTTTTAAAAATTGCAATTTTAAATGGTTAAAACAAAATCCATGATTTGAAATCTTATTTTTCCCACTTTAAGATGTATTGGTTTTGCCTTTGGATATGTCTCCTTATAATACAGTGGGCACTCAGTAACCTTAATATCTTTCAACATTTCTGTAACACCGAATTCCTTTTTTCACTTGGTGCTGTAGCACAAGACAGCTACTGGGATTTCACAGGAGGCAGACAAAAAAAAACAACCAACCGACCAACCAACAAAAACAACCAAAAGAAATAGAGGCTATTTTAAATGCATCCTGCACCTTTTTGTACTTTCCAAGGGAAGAAAGCCGTTGGGCACCTCTGATCAGGCAGCACAGCAGCTTTGCCCTGTGAAGTAACCAGCTGCCCTACATTATGGTAGCTGTTTTGCTGTATGTTTCAACGAGAGCCTCTTAAGATTTGTGGCAACTCTTGCTTATAGATGACAAAAAATATCCTCTCTCTTTGCTGAATAGGGTTTACAAGAGCCAAGAACCTGAAATATTAGAGAAAAAAAATATAAAAGTCCTAATTTTCATTATCTTTCATCTCATTTGTCATTCTTTTGATACAGGTGTGGAGATTGACTGGCTACAATTTAATCCATTCATTTAAAAATGAACATGCTAAGCAGTCCATTTTCAGAAATATTGGTGCTGGTGTCACCCAGATTGAAACCATTCAAAGGAATCGTATCTTCTCCTGTGGAGCAGATGGCACCTTGAAAATGAGGGTTCTTCCCAACGCTTTCAACATCCCTTCAGGCATTTTTGACATTCTGTAGCTTTCTGCCAGCTAACCCTGTTTTTATATAATGTCCCTTTAAGTCTCAAAAAATGCAGTGATATGCACTGTGGAATTTTTCTGTTGCCTTTCAAAGCAATTACAGCAACATTAAGTATTACTGGGGGGAGGAAAGACACAGTACTTTTTCAACAGGTATATTTTGAATATACCTATAAGGATCACTGGGATGGAAATGTGAGTACTGTGTTGTAACAGCAAAGAATAAAACCCAGTACAGTCAGTCGTGGGTGGGGTATTGCTCAGTAACCACAGGCTGCATTTAGTAAGTATAAGTGTATTGCAAAGGTCCTGACTGTCAGCCACTTAACAAGCACTGTGCTCTACAAGTCAGTAAGCATTTCTAAAGTGATTCTGATTATTTTTATTCCAGTTTTTCCCACTAATGGAAGCATGTCTACAAGTTCTCATTGTAAAATAGTTTAGTTTTAATTAAAGGTACTCAGTGTATTTGGTTTTCACAAGAACGTGTAATGGATGCAAATGTGCAATCAAGAATGTACTGTGAGACGTATCATTTTATGCTGAGATTTCTTTCCCAGTTAGTATTACTACATAGTTGATACTGTAAACTTGCACATTAACATTTTTAAATGCTTTTTTTTGTTTTAATTTGCACACTATTTCCCTTCCTTTCTGACAGCTATGTTCTCTATTGGCCACCTGCCTTTACTTTAGGAATGTACTGTGTGCATTAAATGTTTGTAGTGAGGACACCCATGGTTCTGGTCAGCTTTTAGTTTTTGAAATTCATTTGTCCAGAAAATACTTCATTAAATGAAGCTAATAAGAAAATACCAATAGAACATACAATGCCACATTTCAGATGAATGTCAGGCTTTATGTGGCCAGCTAGTAAATAGTGGATAAAACTGGTAATTAAATTATTACCACAGCATATTGTATAAACTATGCAGAGTTCAATATTGTTTGCTTGTAATATAACTAGCTACTGTTGTCAGATGTATTTTTCTGTTGTAAACAAAAACTATGTTCTTAAGACACTGGAAAAGATGTCTGTGTATTTAAATGTCAATGAAGTGTCTTACTCTTCCAATGAAAATTTTGATGTCTGTGCTGTATTGTAAAATATACTGGAATAAAAAGCACCTTTCTCCAAAGGCAGTCTTAAATTGCAGGCTGTGAAGTAGGAAAAGAAAGAAAAGTAAATGTCATTGTTTAGTTTTCCCTTTGTAAGTTAAATAAATTACTTTTATTTCATGGAACAGTTCACTTCAGAACTTTCTTACATTTAAATAGACTTAACTGAAATTCTTAGAGACTGAATGAGCGAGCTTTGACTTGACCTGACCATACTCAAGTAAGAAAAACTTTTGCATTTCATTTTCAGCTTTCCTAGAAAATCATGAAGCTAACATGTAGTTCCATCTCCAACTGAGGCAGCTGCAAGAAACACTTCTTACACAAGCCTGGCTCAGCCACTGAGGCAGGAGATGGAGTTTGCTGGCCTTTCTCCAGTAGGTTGATCTGACTGGGTCAGCAATGACATTCAGAAATTTAACATGTTTAACATATGCATGCTATATAAAAAATTTCTTAGTAACAGAATTAAAAAAAAAAAAAAAAAAAAAAACCCACAACCTCCCCCAAGATGTAATTCTGGACTGTGACATTTTGCATTATTGTTGTGGATAGGATTCTTGGCACATGAGTTCTGACGTGCTTATTAGTTCAGAGTATTAATTGTGCTTTTTTGTCTCTGCCTGCACAGGCAGAGTACATTCTTAGTACAGGAGGCCAATCCTGGCCTCAGTGAAACCAGCAAGCATGCTAAGAGAAGAGGATACTGCCCAGGCCCAGCCATCACTGTATCACACACTGAAGCTTAGCTGCAGCAGCTTTATTTTTCTAATACATCTGTTAGTTAAGTTCTGCCTGCAAAGATCATCCTGCATTCTTTTTATCCATTCAATGGCTCCTTGATACCAAGTAGGCATTAAACAGCTGAGTGCAGTCAGGTTTAAGAGAGTTTTTAAATATTTGGATTAATCCCACAGATTTACCAATAGGCACTGACAACTTTGAAATTCAAGTTTTCAGAGGGCAATTTTGAATTGAAACACACAAAGACACAACGGATGTTCCAATGTTAAAGTTAGAAATCTGAAGTACTGAACAAAATTAAAGTCAAAAGCTCCTATCACTTTTCGCCTCTTGTTCCCGAAAGATTGAATGTGAGTGGCTACCTTCTGAATCAAGTCACTAAGCACTGTGACAAATACAGGCCATCCTGCTCCAGGTATTTCATTTTTCAAAGAATACCAGCAAAGAAGTACACTCTCCATTTTGTGACTTCATTTCTATGAGTAAGTGTGAGGAAAATTTATCAGAAATGCACCTTCCTTGTAACTACACTTAGTGAGCTGTAATTCTATGAAATGGTGGACTTTATGTGGCAGTGAGAGGGGGAAGGAAGAGATCCCAACAATACAAGCAACTACAACACCGTTTAAACAAGAATTTTAATTTTAAAATGTACATGTTTTCCTCCAATTTTATACCCAGTTACTTTCCTTCCCACATTTACTTTACTAAACAGTTTCACAGGCGTCAGTATTTAATAATGTCATTACTACCATTTTCCTCGCAACTGGGGCTGGATTGTGCTTTTAATGATGTAACAGTTGGCTGGACTTCTCAAATCTGAAGATTTTGCTTTTTGATATTTAAACAACTCTTTCCAGTCCTCTTAACAGCTCTATATCCTTGTCAAAAATACGTTCACAGAGAAGAGGGGCAACCGAGGAAAGTATTTATACACAAGTTCATTATTTAGACACTTATACCATAATTGCTGACTAGAAAATGACTGCAGATAAGATGATTGCAACTGGAAGTTATAAATAGTCACTGCTGATCACAGGACCATGGAATAATCAACATACATTAGGTCTAATTATTGGCTCAAGAATGGGAAAAACAAAAGCAAGTCTGTGGTAACTGTGTGCCAGCTGTAATATCGAACATTCTCTGAACAACAAAAAGAAGAAATAGCCTGTATGATTTAAGTGCATTTATACAAAGGGGTCTGATTTCCCTTTTATGCAAGCACGTAAACCACCATCAGTGAACAGAAAGGGTATACCAAGTGAAGGGACTCCAATATGTATATCATACTGCTTTAAATAATCTGTTTAGTCAAACATGATTTCCTAACATTCCTTTTTAAAATATATTCATCCACCAAAATGTACTGGATATACCATTAAACTCCCATTCTCCCATGTATACAAATTCTTATCTCTTAGACTGTATGAGAGCATAGCAAGAACAGACTGTGAAGACCGTAACTCAAACCTTGCATCAACCTGCTTTTCTTTCAGTAAATCAAAAGCAAAACTTACTGTCATGTCCTTAGTATCAGTAACATAGATAATTCCACATGCTATGAATGCATTACCAGCTTTGGACTTTGGATATGTAGTATTGATATGCCGAATGACCGAGAACGTTTCTTCATCAATGTGTGCTACTATTATTGTTTCATCAGTGCTTGAGGCATATATAATCCAGAGTCCTTTTTCATCCACTGCTATGTTGAAATACGTCTTCGAGTTAGAAAAGAGGTAGTTACGGCCGTGATACAGGGCATTCTCAATGAGCAGCATGCCCAGCGATGCTTTATCAAGCCCAAGTCTGAAAGGAAATAAAGGATCAGTACCTTGTGTTAAAAGTGTGTTTGTATTTCAACAGGCTGGATGGATTGATTCAGAGGATGTAATTACTGATAGAAGCATTGTTGAAAATACTTAAGGACAATTCTAGTGATATCTTTTAAAACGAAATGCTCCACTGAAAGCTCCTTCCAAAACACCAGGAGAAAACTTGACAGTAATAACCAATTTGGGGCACACAAGAGCATGAATTCACTTTGGTAAGTTTAGTTTCATTTAGTCTATGAATGTTAATATCAGTGAGATGAAGGAAGCCAACTAAAAGAAAGGACGAGTGTGAAAAAATGG